ACCCATGTATAAATTACGCGCGGGGCCAATTAACATTGTCGCCGGACGAGTGGACGCCTCGCGAACCGGACTGGATACCACCTAGGCGCGGGGGTGGGCAGATTAATTGAGACCTTCCTCCCCCTCCGGGTCGCGGCCACGTCGAAACCGTGCTCCTGGGAACCCGTTGCGAGGAATTAATTCCGCGCGTAAATTGTACGATCGTCGTCGGCCTATCCCTTTTTACACCTCCGCGATAGCGAACTCCGAATCGTTCCCATAATTTCGTTCCCAACGACAGTCGACCGGCGGAGAAAAATTCGCGCGGCGAACACGGTGGATCGCAAATTTCGCGGGAAGCGAACGAGAAACACTTTGGCTCGTTCAGCGACGATTTTACGCGTTGGTTCGCGACGCTGCGAGGCCGTAACTCAATGTGCGTTCAAGTTTGGCGCCGTAATCGGGCTCGTTATCTAATTCCAATGGCCGATAAAATTCACCGTTACCGGTAGGCTGCGTTGATCCGTAAAAAGTTTCGCCCGTGAATCGCGGACCAGGTCGGCCGGTTGCGCGGGAAACGCAATATCCGCGCAACGAATTTCCGATTATGGCCGAGTTTATTGGTTTAGTGAAATTTACAGCCGATATTAAAATTGAAACGAGGGGATAGGAAAGTAAAATTGAAATAGTTCTGTGATGCAATGAAATTATTATAATTATTAGACGACCATAACCAAATACGATTTTATTAAGATGATGATCACAGGCCCCTTAATGTTTCGTTGTACTGTGTTTCTATTTGAGTAAATAGCCCCAAAATTCTATCAGATTTCTGTAGTTTAATAAGAAATTAATGGCGTGTTGGTCTTTGCATATTTTTGGCGTTTCCTTAAAACGTTCACGATGGATAGAGACTGGTGTATTCTGTTTACCGTGCGTTCCTCGAGTTCAGGAAATGCCTAACCGTTGAACGTCCCGGGCGACACGGTGGAAAGATGATCCCGGCGTACGCAACACCGGCAGCTCCTCTCGGCGTCCGCGATTACACGATATTTCATTGTCTCGTTGAGCATTGTTGCGCAATTATCCGCGGCTGTACACCCTTTTAGCGAGAGTGGTTGCGCAATGTCGTATACACAGTTACCGGTGTACCCATTTATAAACCCCCGTTGCGGGCCGCATTGACGATCGGTAACTTCTCGTTACCGCGACTACCGTGGCCTACGAGCGGCCGTCTCTTAACGGGTTTCCGTACACAGAACTCTGCGCACTTATGTCGCGTACACACGCATCTCTCACCCACGGTTCCGGCGGTGCGGTGATTTAACGCCGCCGAGACGGAATCGCGTAATGTGCCACGGTCGCCGGAACACGCCGATTTCACGTGTCACGCGGGGTACGTTGCCGCTCCCAGAAAGAAGATTTTCTCCCAACTATGCCACGGGGATGATAGTTACTCTGAACCATCGTCTCACGACGAATCGAGGATTCCAGTTCATACTATACGATGCAATTTTGGGATGGGAGGCCTCGATCTAGCGTGTGTTGTCTCCGGAGAACTAGCGCGCATGCGCGAGTGGAACGCTGCGTACTAGCGCTGCGTAGAGGCGTACTTTTCACGCGTCTCGACACGAGGACACACGGTGTTCTAAAACCTCCGTTTAGATGCGAAAAACTAACCTAGTAGCGAATAGATGGTCGCAGAAAGGTTGTATTATTGATTATTATAACGCTACTGTCAAACTTGCGTTTATTATGAATGGCTCAAAATTGGAACAGGCTCGTGATAATCATTATTCTGGTATGTCTATGCAGGGCGTTTCATTCGAGATTTCCAGTGTAAAGAGTGTGGTACAATTTTAAGATATCAGACAGCAATCTAGAACTCATAATTCTTCCAACACCATAAGTACGCGTTCGCGTGTGCGAAGTTATTACACTTTCTTGCACGTAATTCCTACAATGCAATGATTTAGTGCTATTGTAACGAAACAAGACCATTTCACATATTACAGTGTACATTACGATCTCAGAAGAAAAATGACTTGTAATAAAATCATTCAAAAATAATCGTCACTTTAGAATAGTATGTTCCGATGTTAAAGGACGCGATTTCAGGATAGGAAGATCTTGCGATCCAAAAGGGACATTTATAAAATTGCAAACGTAAAAAATCTGTCGATTACTTAAATACTTTACTAATACATCCAAAAGAAAACTGATCTTCTACGATTTAAAGGAAAAAACAAAGAAGGGGATGGTGTCAGTAGGGGTTGGAATTAACGTAGTACAATATTTATACTTTTATCACTTAAGAAATACCACTCCAAAAAGCTGTACTGATTAACAATGTCTTCGCGCGATATTTTGATCGTGGTTTTTAGTTCGTAGTGCATCATTCACCCGACTCTGGCAGTGTGCCTGGGCGCATAGAACGTTGTATACTATTTAATGCCGCGCATATATGCATTCCTTGCATACGGTTCCAGCGATACAGTGATTAATCGCGACTACGACGGAACTCGTCGATATCGTGTATCATGCAATATATTCTTGGGCCGAGTAGGAAGATGTCTTTTAAGTAATCGCGCATGAATGATCGTTACTTTGCTGTCCTGACGTGATATTTTAATCGCGGTTCCGAGATACGTTCGGAGAAAGAGATAGGAATTCGAACTCTGATCTTTGGGTGGCTGGCATAATCAATTGAGCCATCCGGATCACCTCTAATCCTTTCGACTTAAATATGTATCTGCTACCTACAACCCGTAGAGGGTGCCTAACACGGCTGGAAGAAGCTGTGTTTTTGATACAATTAGGGCCAGACATAAATGAGGTTGCATGTTGGCGCAGTAACAGAGTGCAATTGTACTGTGTAATTTTTGGGTTGATAATTTGCAGTTTTCGTTTAAGTATGAGTGTTTACTCGAAGGGGGGTAGAAGATATAGAAATATCCGTATCGTTCTAATCTGATCCTGAAAGAAAAATTGTACACTTACACGAAAGTAACACGAGGATGTGGAATACATTACACCACCAAAATTTGCCTAATAACACACTTTACTATTTTTAACCGTTCTAAAAATACAGTTCCACCAAGTTGTGAGAAGCATTTAAGAAACATGTATGAAGCATATTTTTTAAAATTGTAAAGTGGAAGACATCAATGAACTTCATCTGCTCGGAGCAGATGGCTATTTTTGGGGGAAAGCGCGGATCTCGTCGGAGAGAAAGGGCACCGTTGTACGTTCTATCCGTTTTCTTCTCACAATAAACTGCCACAGCCGTTTAATATTCTTTCGTTATTTTTTCCACCGTGTCGGCATAGCGGGAGGAAAGGCGAAGACGATGCTCGAACGAAACTTTCCCTCTTGATGGGTTCGGAGAAGAGGGAACCGGCCGGGGAGACACGCGCTTTGAATGAGCTGCTTGCCTCGAAAGATTAGCTTCGACTCGCTCCCACGCCTCATCTCGCTATCGCATCATCGCGGAGATTCAATCTCGCCGCTTCCAGACTCCTCGAACGATAAAACCCAGCCGGTCGCGCTGTCGATCCGCGCGGAGCGCGAAACGCTTGGCCGCAAAAACATGCAAACTCTGTTAGGCAGACTTATTAAGGAAGAGATATTCGTTCCTAGTTTCCGCGTTTTACATTGAATACTCACCGCCGACATCGGTGAATTGATGTCCCCGCGGACGAGCCAGCTTATCGATTTAGACGCAGAAGACGCGTAAATCAGGGGAAATATGAACGGAACCCCGAGATAACTGGGCATCCCGATGCATTCAAGCGACGTTGAACGATGATGACGTTTAACGCGGGACCATTTTTAAACGACGCGCGAAAAGTCCATTGGCCACTCTGAGCGATCCTCCGGGTCTCCGGGCTATTGTCCACTTTCCTCCTCGAGAGTCTCTTGAAATTAACCCATTTAGTATCAGTAACTCCAACTCCAAGTCACTTCTGTAGGTCACAGTAGACCTAGCAAACCTAACACAGTTCGATCTTTATTAAATTTTCCAATGGATTCCCAAATGTTAAGGACAAGTCTTGTGACTCAAAGAGTTAAGAATCGTTTGTCTATAGCAGACTCTAAAAGTTGCGAGTCCTGAGAGTGCAAAATCCAGGCGCGGTATTGTCGTTCGAAACGATAGCAACAACGAGCCACCCAAGGTCTCCCGCGGGGGTTAAAACGGCGACCCGAATGACGCTAATCCTCGCGTGTGAAGAGGACAGTGAACCAGCGCGGATGCACGGGTCCGTAACTCAGCCGCGTGACTCACGTTCGCAGGATCAGAGCATCGTTGTATTTCAGAATGCAGGAAACCAGGAAGTCGGTGTGCATTATGAAATCGGAGATATTACGCGGGGAAGTTGTATTCACGGGGATCTTATGGGCACGGTACGGGAAGGTGCTGCTGAAGCGTAGCGTAAAATATCATCGTTATGCACCGCTCGAGGTTAATATTAGCCGCGGCGCCGTCCGCGATATTTACTATAAGCCCCATTGTTTTATGCGGCGCTGAACCCCGTTGGACAGCCGCTGATACAGTTGTACGCGCCGCACCTCCGCCGCTACTTACTGCGGAACTCAATTCTTGCGAAATGGAATTGAATGACCGCTCACCGCGTCGCTCGCGTTCACCTTGGATCCGCCATTTTCAACCGTCGATACTTGCGAATTAATCGGTCTCTGCTTTCACGAATCAAATTCTTGTTAACGAGCATCTCTGTCACTTGGCTACCTTTGGGAAGAGAGGAATCGAACGTCAGTGACCAGAGCAGGCATAGTGAAACTCATTTTTACTCGAAAGCTAACTTATTTGCTACCATGTGGTGTGACACAGATTTTATAATACTCCGTGTCACCTCTCGTACTAGCCACCAGAGACTGACCCCTCTGTTCGACCGACTATCTAATATCCCAGCGTCCTTCCTACGATCTTTCTCAGTTCGTCCACTAACAGATGCAGCTAAAAGATAGTTTAAATCCCCTACAGCTCGATTTTTTTGTCGCAGGTGATACCGGTGGAGCGTCGGGTGCCCGAGAAAGAGGAGACCTGGACGCTGGCCCCGGACCAGCAGGACCCATGCACGTTCTTCGAGGATGTAGCTAAGTCCAAAGCACCCCAGGACGTCGAGAGCACAAGAATCCCAGCGGATGGGGTGCCAGAGAGTATCGAACAACCAGAAAGTGGTACCCTGCCCCGTAGTCAAGAGACCAGGAAGAGCAAGACGAAGAAAGTGAGAAGCTATCTAAGAAAATGCAAGGGCGCGCTGTCCAAGGGCGACGAGAGTAGCTCGGAGAAGAAACGTCAAGAGCAGTGTGCCTCTTGGTACTTGGACGAGTCCCAAACGTCCAAACGCCAAGAGGACACCGACGTCCTGCTCGAGAAGCAAGAGGAGTTTGTAGACGAGAGGATCGCGGAAGTGGATCTAGCGCCTCTGGTGTCGCAGGAGATTGATGACAATGAGATCGCGAGAGAGGATCCTTTGGCGGATCCTGCGAAGAGCAACGCTCAGGACGAGACCCCTGACGAGGCTCTCGCGAGGCTGCTGGACGAGGATCGCAGAAACGACCTAAGGAGGAGTCGGACGTCTCTGTACGAGGACGCCAGCGACTCCGTCAACGACCAATGCCAGGTCGACGAGAGCTCCAAGGTGGGAAACGACGTGGTCTCTCTCGAGACGCTGACCACGGAAGACTCGAACCTGAACAAGTGCGACTCCAGCGACACTTTGATAGCGGAAGCTGCAGAATCGACGCCCGCGTCTGTGCCAGAGTGTTCGGTGGTTGGAGAAGAGGTGGTAGCTGAGCAGAGGAAGGAGGAGGAGGAAGATGGGATCCAACAGGCGGATGGTGAAACGCTGCAGGCCCTCTCGCTGCTCGGGGTAAGTAAATCTTTGCTGAATGTTGATTATAGTGATGATTCGTAAAATGAACTTCAGACGTGGTTCGTTAATTGAACGTTTCTATTCTTCATAACTTTGGGCATCCTTATTGTTTGTATCCTTTAGGAATGTAAGAGGTGGCCTATCACTGCTATAGGGGGTGGGGAGTCGACAGGGGTTTTTGGTAGTTGCAGTGGAATAGTTCTTTGTTTTCGAGTAGGTGTTTAATTTGAAGGAGTTTGAAGACCCCGAGACACATTTAAACGTTTCCAAATACCTGCAGAGTATCCGAATTTCACGAAAATTTCGAGCGTCGTTCCAAACAGTGCACTTATGGCGTGGAACGACTCTACTCATAACGCGAGATTTTCCCTCGATAGCGGGGCCCGATAACATCGATCTCCTCGCCGCCGTCTGTGCCAGTGGTATTGAATCTAACGGTACCAGCAACGAAGGTGTATAAAAGGAGCGTGCAGCGGCCATTTGAATACAAATCACAAACGGTTACCGCGCGCACGGTAGTAAAGCAAATTGCAACACACGTATACGCGCGCACACGCACGCGTGGTGGCACGAGGAGGCGCGCACCGTGGTTAGTAATTTATGCCACCGGTCTTAATGCACTTGTACCGATGATTAAAACGTAATTTCCACGGATAGGAAGAAACGTAACCGGTGTCTGGTTTTTTCTCGCCTACCCGCGTTTATGATTCACGACGCTCGGTTTACCGCCTGTTCCGTGATTTACGCGCCTCGATGTTGCAACGACCGGTATAACACTGCGTATGCACGGTTCCTGCGGGGGGTATTCCCGTCTCAAAGGGTGGAAATACGCGGGGTAGTTCGCGGCCATTCCGACTACTTTGCAGAACCGGTGATTAAATCCTTAATTACTGCTAAGAAAACCGTGTACTTATAATTGCTACAAAGTGGTAATCAGACCCTTGAAAACGACGGTTTAAAAGTGTACAATTTTAAGTTGAATTAACACTGACACTGACAAATATACCATTGAATTTTATGAAAAATTGGAATACTAAAGTCATTATTCTTCGAAACTGTAAAATCGTGCAGGGTCAGGTGTATTCGCTCGCAAACGAAAGATTCATTGTTTTATGCCAACGATGGAACGATTTTCTTCGGAAGAAAAATTGCTTTTCCCGTTTCTCCGGTTGGAATCGTGCGCGTATCGCGTCGCGGACGTTTTCGAATTTTCCATCGCGTTGGTCGGGGTCCGTATTTTAAAGTGAAATTCAAAGGACGGCCTGGAGTCAGCGGGCAACACGGAAAAAGACTCGTCGTTATCAGTGAATTTATAAGGACCACGTGGTACGGGACACGCGAGGTCGTCCGTGTTCCTTCGATCGTTGTCTCTCGCTGAAATTCGCGTGGGCGTAACGCGGGTGAGATTGCCGTGAATTTGTCTCGTTTATCGATCATGCCTTATCGATGACAGTCTGCGAGGGAACATGACTCGTGGGATTCGAGGCTCGGTACGGCTTGTATATACGCGGAGTTACCGCGGGCCACGTGACAAACGACCGTCGCGTCGGTTTCGTTCAAGCGTTATGCGACGCCTATGCCGAAAGGCACGATATACGGCTGAACTTGCTCCAATGTTTATTTCACGCTGTACCAGAATGTGCAGCCACCTTTCGGTCATGATAGGAGAGAACAGTTGTATGCCCCCCGGCCAAACAAGTGTTCCGACTATAACTAAATCGTGCTTAATTATTGCACTTGAAACCGTGCACGACGAAAATTGAAAACTACATTTCGAATAACCGTAAATAACGAGCCCGTTCGTGATCGTCGTGTGTCACGGTTTATTTAATCGTTCGCGAAAGATTTATAGATTGAGGATATTATGGCGCTCGCGTGGGCTACGTGAGACGATGCATCGAAGGTGACAGCGAAAGTTCGGGACCGTTCTACGTACGCCTATGCATGTGCAGATTGCGTTCAGAAATCTTTTTAGCTTATCGAAGTTAGCTTGAACAATTGATCTTAAAAGTTAAGGAAATTGGTAACTCGATGGAAATGAATCAACCCTTTATGCTCCAAGAATTCATTTTAATAGAAGCAACTACTCGAAGGCAATTTTGTGGTGCCATTTTAAGGAATACTAAAATTGTTCTTTCCCCCTGAGAAACTTATAAATGTTCATTTGTTTCGTTATGAAACCTTAAATCGTGTTGTGGTGGGTATCACGTATGTCGCCGTGGCGGCGCCACTGAAGCGCCAAGGGAGCGTCAAATTTGAACAGAATTAATAGATACTTAGAAAACATTGAATCTAAATAGACACAGGAAACCTTAAAAAGTTCTTTTCGTAGTTTTGGCAGAGACGTGGTAATCGGGTTAAAATAATAATTCGCGAATTGATTGAAAGGTAGACGGTTTCTCGGGTGAAGATTTCCCAGGTGAATAAGATTGAGACAGACACGGTTGTAGGCGAATCAGTGTACAATTAGTAGGAAATGGCGAGGCGCTCGGGGCACTGTCCTCTATTATTAGACGCCAGAAGAAGGTTCTTTCTGCGAAACACGAGTAGAGGCTGGTGGCCCGCGCAGGAAAACATACCCTCTCACCCAGATACCTACATAATGTCTCTCCGCGAGTAGAATAGTTCCGTTGTCGGCACGACTACCCCGGTTAGCTCAGGTTAGACTGGGTTCGTCGAGGTACTTGTTAAGGCGGACCCGTGGAGCCAGAGGTGTGTATGGGAATTGCAGGTCGTGCTCATTAATTATATCGGACGTGATCTATCTGGACCACAGTTGGTTGTACGGTTGCTCGGGAGTCCCCACGTGCAGTTTATAGGCGTCGTGAATCGACAGTCGAACGGCTTCGCCGGATTCTCGACGCGATGGAGACGTATCCTAAGCTCACTCTCTTTTTCTTCTTGAATCTATTACCAAAAAAGAAAATTTATAGCGGGAATTTTAGACGTTCAAATTCCTATCCCCAAAACATACGACAGTCTAGGAGTCCTTGCAAGAATCCTGTTTTTAATAATATTCTATCTATGTCAAATTCCTAGAAGAATTTTAGGTCTAGAGAATTTTCGAATTGCTTCGACTATTATTAAAAGCAAGAAATTTTGCAACGATTTCGAGTCTTTCGTGCGTTTCGATCACTTCGATTATCTCAGGATCCCGAATGCTTTGAATGCCATAAAAGTCCTGAAAAGTCTTAAATATCTCCAGCGGCTCGAAAGTGTTAAATGTTATGAATATCACGAATGTCTAGGAAGTTTCGTGCGCTTCGAGGGTTTCGAATACCTTACAACCTTCGTGTATCGTAAACTCAAGAAAGATTCGAATGTCTCAAATGTCTTGGGATCCATGAGTAACTTAAATATCTGACTTTCTTCGGAAGTATTCGAACGTCTGCCTTCGAAGGTTCGATGTTGCGTCAATCGGTATTAAGTGTCAGGAACCCCGAGGCTTCCACGTTGTTGAGTGTCGTTTCGAGTAGCGAGTTTTAAATCTGCCCGACACTCGCCGGTATATCATGCGTTGACACGAATATACTAGCTCTACCATAAATTAATCTGATGGAGCCTTGTTGAAACGTTAATTACACTCACTAGGATGAATAACGTATTACTGTCGTCAGAGTCATCTATCCGGTAGTTAATCACCATCCGGTTGCTGATCGTTCTCTCAAAATTGCCCATCGGAGCAGAGTTTACCTTGCATTTCCAAACACTATCGTATTGTTATAAGCTCTAGATAAAAGAAATACCACGGGTAAAAAAAGTGAGAAATTATCAGTATAATAGCGTGGTTCACCGAGAATTATAATGCAAAGACTGTTGAAGATATATAGAGCGTAACCGATGAAAGGTTAAGATACAACAGAGTTCAAAGGTTTCGATGTAACCTGAGATTTCGTACTTTTTCTATTTCCCCGCTAAGGTTCGATGTAAGAATCAAAGGGAAAGCTGCTCGAACGAACGTTTTGGAAACTTAGAAACGGAGAATTCCACGGGCCTCGACTATCGACGTAGCGTTTTATGACCTGACCTGCAACGAAGTCCAGGTCACCGTGCGTCGTGTTTGCCAGGCAATTTCAATGTACTATCTTTCGCGAGTGCATCCGACGTCGCGGCGTAATGCACGTCCTAATTGGAATGTGGAGTTTCCCCGGCTATAAATGACTACGGACGCCGAGAGTCGCGAGGAAACGCGCACAAAGATAGTTAATGCGAGAAAAATGGCGAAGAAGTCGCGTCCTTATCGTATATACCCCGGCTGCCTCGCGGACCTTGTACAAAATTCTGAGCGCGCAACAAGCTTCGAGGAAAGCGTAAATGTATCCTGCGCGGGAAGAAAAGTCCCGGAAGTGACGACGAAGTTCATTCCACTTGTCTTCGGACGGATAGTGCCGCGGGGAAGTATGCTAGGCGCGTACATGCGAACCGCAGCCACAGGTAGGCGTTAGGCTCGCGGACTGGGTTAGGTCTGGGTTAGGTGATGGGCAAAAATTTAATTCGAGCAATTAAACCAACGTATAGCAATTTACTCATAAAAGGATGTCTTCTCTTGAGTCCAATACAGTGGTTTTTAATTGCAATATTAGTGTTCGATAGTTTATAACTTAGAAAAAATGCAATTTTGAGTGAACTAGTTAAGGCTATACTGGAAACTGGGCCCAGTGCGATTGCAGCGCCATGGGTTTACGTCCTACACTCGCCAGCAGAGGGCTACGCTCAACCTGTACGTTTCTCACACGTACTCGACACTTTTTTCTTTTCTTTCTTCCTGTTATTTCACCCACTTGTTCTCACGATAGTAAGTCCCATTACAGTATAAATAAACCTCGTAAATTTGATTACGAAAGTAAAACGCATTTTACATTAAAATATCCCCAAAACACATGTTTCAGGTTTTACCATATCGTGAACCCATGCTTTGTAAGTTCTAACACTTGCAGTATATCTGGAGCCAGTTTTAGAGCGTCGGGTCTCGCACGTACGCACACACGGGGTGGTGTGTAAATCGTGGCAGAAACGCTACCCGATCATCAGTCGTGAAAGTG